GGAATTTAAAAAAAAAAAATACACTGTGTGGACGATGTTGAGTTGGGTTAATAGTTAATCCATTTTAAGCCGACTCGGCAGACCAAATTGTAGTACAAGTGTGTAGGTCCAAACAGTCGATATTTAGGGTCTTATTACCACCAGCTTGTTGTTCTGGTTTTACCGTTGTGAAGTTTTGAGCACATTGGTATTGCGTTATGTCGCTTAAAAAAAACAAAGCAAACAGGATTTCCGAGATTTGAAACCTTTTAAAATCTCACCCGTGTGGTTATTTTAATCTAGGAGGTTTATTACATTTGTGGGATTCCCCAAACGGTTTTAAGTGTACACCATGCGAGCTGCTTGTTACAACGTGTAAACTAGTAACGGTTTATAGTTGTTGAATATCACTGATACATTTCATTACAAGGCGTTCATACTTAATTTAAGAGCGATACGGTGCTAGCGTTGTCTTGTCACCGTAAGATTAAACCTTCATAGAGCACTTTTTCTTCCTTATGTACAGCTTATACGCATGTAATTGTTTGGATTTATAGAAGTTGACTCAAAAATGTTTTTCCTTCATGGTTAACACCGACTCTCAAAAGACACGAGTTAGCTAATTGGTCCCTTGGCCTTCACATATACTTTCTACTTACACTAATATAGCTTCTGTTTCACCACTTCTCGAATGTTCTGTCGTATATCGGTTTTCTAGTTGGGTTTATTATAAAGTAGGATAAACGTAAAGCACGATACATTAGTAATCTGGTATTTATCTTTCTTGACGCGTGCGGCAATTTGAAATAGCTAGACTTAATTTCTAACGATTTGACCTATCAGAAGAGAAAAGAAACGTGTATTATATATAGCAGGTGGTGGGTATTGAGTTTCTATAAAGTAAGTACGCCAAGTCATTCCGTTAGCATGACACCTGTATTTATAATGCTCATCAAGCTTTTTACTATATTACAACTATCTATTTATAGCGATTAGGTATAAATTTTATGCTTTGGTTGGTCCTTTACCTGAGTCTCACTGGTCACAAGAATGACTTGTTCAAACCGCGGTGTGAAAAGGGGGAGGGTGTGTTGCATTCCTCTGGACCTTTTGTTATTGCTCGCCGCGAGGGCGTGACCTACCTGGTGTTGTTGAGTGTGTAGAGAGCATGTTCCCCGTGTTTGCCTAGCTGCTTACCTCAAGTGTTCAACTGGTGTCCGCCAACTGATCGCTCTACATCAGACGCTCGTTACACTACCTGGCATTCCGATTACGTGCTGATAGCTCGCTGGCTCTCCCCGTCGTACACCCCACTTTTAATTCCCTACTTAAGTTGTTATTGCTCATATACGGTTAACGAAGCGAATAATAAAGTCCACTTGGTCACGTGGAGACCGGTTAGCCGCGGGCCTTGGTGGCCGAACAAACACTTGATATTTGCCACGCATGGACGGTTCCATCCCCGTGTTGTGCCTGTCTATTGTTTGACCAGGGACTCGCCGCTCGTCATTAAATTCCTGCCTGTCTTTAGTAACACACACCGGCTTACAAGCACCCCCACCCCCCCGACACGACCCGCCATCAAAGAACAGCCATCACCATCCTTTGGTTGGGTGCTCGGCGTTGGGTTAGCGTTACTTTTTGTACCTGCCTAACAAGGTTCAACACCGTCTGCCTTTCATCGGTATGTGCGCTTTTAAAAAAAAAGGGATTGACATATGGGTGAACAAATAATGAACCATTTTTGTAATACACTAAATTAAGTCGCCTAACCACCGACGTAATATAGATCTAGAAGAGATCTTTCGCTAGGAACAAACGAAGTCCCACGATAGATCAGCGCCTAATTTGTCGTTGTAAATTCACTTCAATATGTACACATTGTTCAGCTAGCTTTTTTTCCGTTATCACCTGATTGTAAGCTCTGTGTTGTAGTAAAAGTAATGATGGGGTTAAGTGGTAAGCGTTTTACTGTAGTAAAAGTATTGATGGGGTATAAAGTGGTAATCGTTGCGCTGTAGTAAAAGTATTGATGGGGTAAGTGTTGTGTTGTAGTAGAAGTATTGATGGGGTAAATGGTAAGCTTTGTGCTGTAGTGAAAGTATTGATGGGGTAAGCTTTGTGCTGTAGTAAAAGTATTGATGGGGTAAGCTTTGTGCTGTAGTGAAAGTATTGATGGGGTAAATGGTAAGCTTTGTGCTGTAGTAAAAGTATTGATGGGGTAAGCTTTGTGCTGTAGTGAAAGTATTGATGGGGTAAATGGTAAGCTTTGTGCTGTAGTGAAAGTATTGATGGGGTAAGCTTTGTGCTGTAGTGAAAGTATTAATTGATGGGTTAAGTGGTAAGCTTTGTGCTGTAGTAAAAGTATTGTTGGGGTAAGCTTTGTGCTGTAGTGAAAGTATTGATGGGGTAAGCTTTGTGCTGTAGTGAAAGTATTGATGGGGTAAGCTTTGTGCTGTAGTAAAAGTATTGATGGGGTAAGCTTTGTGCTGTAGTGAAAGTATTGATGGGGTAAATGGTAAGCTTTGTGCTGTAGTAAAAGTATTGATGGGGTAAGCTTTGTGCTGTAGTGAAAGTATTAATTGATGGGTTAAGTGGTAAGCTTTGTGCTGTAGTGAAAGTATTGATGGGGTAAGCTTTGTGCTGTAGTAAAAGTATTGATGGGGTAAGCTTTGTGCTGTAGTGAAAGTATTGATGGGGTAAATGGTAAGCTTTGTGCTGTAGTAAAAGTATTGATGGGGTAAGCTTTGTGCTGTAGTGAAAGTATTGATGGGGTAAATGGTAAGCTTTGTGCTGTAGTGAAAGTATTGATGGGGTAAGCTTTGTGCTGTAGTGAAAGTATTAATTGATGGGTTAAGTGGTAAGCTTTGTGCTGTAGTAAAAGTATTGTTGGGGTAAGCTTTGTGCTGTAGTGAAAGTATTGATGGGGTAAGCTTTGTGCTGTAGTGAAAGTATTGATGGGGTAAGCTTTGTGCTGTAGTAAAAGTATTGATGGGGTAAGCTTTGTGCTGTAGTGAAAGTATTAATTGATGGGTTAAGTGGTAAGCTTTGTGCTGTAGTGAAAGTATTGATTTGTCTGCAGGTTAGTTCCATGTAGAGACGATGCGCTGGGACATGAATGGGTAGACACTAACAAACAACTTGTTAGCGGCGCGCGGAGAGCCATAAAAATAGCGTCTTTGGTTTGATCGCTGTAAACTTCTAATAACCCGATCCTATTTACTAGTACATATTTAACAATTGTCATTACAACTTGTCTTTTTTATTTCGACTTTAACCTTTTTGTTCGTTGAGTATCACTTGAATGTTGTTGGTTTATTTATCGAGTTCGTTCTTTTTATTTCACACACAACAAAACGTAGACTACGTGCAATTGATTTAGCCAGTCAAAAGTTGGACGTTCATGTGTGAGATTATTAACTCGCCCCCATGCTAAATACTCCAAAAGCCATCAAAGTCAGCATATAAGCGGGCCAAGGTACGATGGTACTGTGTATATAGTTGTGCTAGGTGACATTTGGCCTTGCTTACGTTTATTCATTGACTGATAGTTGCGCCGTGTTTGTGTATACAACCTGTTCTCTACCGATCTGTAATACATGTAAGATCCTTTAGGTGATAAACTTCCAGCTTATTATAGCGTGCTGTACACGGGGCATTAACCTTGGCGTATCAGCGATTAGTAAATGAGGAACTATAGTTTCACATTGGTTGTCACACGTATTTTTTCTTGTTTGATTGTCAAACGTCATTTTTTTTTCTTGTTTAGTTTCCACCGACGTCTTTATTTGTCGTCTGCTAGCTCAGGGTTTCTGGTCCATGATTTAATAGATTTCTATTATTCTTATCTTTTTATTATTATTTTCTGTTGTCAGTGTGGATATCTATAGTCTGAGAACGTTACAAACTATTGAGTGTAGTTAAATTCATGGAGAAGAAATCCTCCAAACCTATCAGTTGTCCATTGCACTTTTTCTGCGATGGACGAGACCCAAGTATCACACCACAGACAGACATGTTTGGAGACCAGGGGAAAGAGGAGGGCGAACAAAATCAATAGCATAGCCCTCTTTTTTTTGTCAACAGGGGAAGGGGGGAGGGAGGAGGATTGTATTGCTCCTGGTGTTGAAGCGTGTGCTTCTCTAGAAGCTGGCTTTCAATTTTATCCTCTACATGGCCATCACTTTTTACATTTATTACATTCATCTCCCTTCTTTTTAAACTAAGTGAAATATACCTTATCTCTATTGTACTTAATTAGTATATCCTCATCATCTAATTGAACGACTATCAACCCGTTATCGACGTTACTCTAAGGTCGTGAATCCCCAACAAGGCCCCAAGAAAGGAAACTGTTTTGGTGTGCTGGTTTCAAAAAGCTTGATTTATCGGAGGGCTGAGATTCGCCGGACATGCGCTTTGTTCTCTTTGCAGATGGAAGAAAATCGCTCTCGCCTAAATAGATCGCGTTTCCGTTTTGTTCTGCCGTCCATGTTATGTTGGGTGGGTCTTTGGGGGGACGTTCTCGTGCTGGGTGTGAAAGAACAGATTGGTAGATATCGTCCCTCGTGGTGATCAATCATAAGATCATGACAGGCATTTCGCTGTCTTCCTTAATTTACATGTAGGAATATGCATGGTTTAAAAAAAAAAAGCGGTATTTCTATTATTTGTGGCATTTCTGGAATAACATGGGGGGGGGGGGGGTAGTAAGGGATACAGCATGATCCTTAGAGAAACTAAACCCTGCTGTATAAAAACAGCAATAAAAATTATTCCTAACCTTTTAGGCCTTTATGACCTGCTATTTGTTTTTAATTTCCCACTACTCTCAACAGTTAATATTTAAATATTGTGGGCTGCATGATTACCTTAAGCTGGGCTCTGCTATTAACATGCCTAAGCCGCCCCCCACCCCCCCCCCCCCCCTGTAGGCTTTTTAAATTGTCACTTGCTTCATGTTAATTGCATTTACAATCTGATAGCCCATGAAAAGTTAATACCATCTGTTTATGTTTCAGTGATCTTGGCCCCACATGGCCTGAGTGGAATACTGACTGGTGTTACCTATTCTGACATTGACCACAACCAAACCTCTTCTAAGATTTTTGCTGACTGGGCAAATTACTACCCCATCAAAGATAACTCTAAAGATGAGTTTGTTGGCAACAGTACTAATAAATTGCCTAATATGGTGGAAGTCATTGTTGGTAAGATTTCAGTTTTATTTCAGTAATAAAAAATAGTTTTAAAAACAAATGTAATGTAGTTATTAGTTTGTGGTGGTCATAATTTAAAAAAAAAACAACTCATCTCTCGCTACAGGTGGTACCAGACTGCGCTATCCAACATGCTATGTTTTGGTCTGTGACAATGAGGAACTCAATGGCAGCAACAGTGTCCTCCAGCCCATGCAGACTTCACTTCTTCCAGGTCCCAACAGCAGAAACCTTGCACGCTCCATGTCCCAGTTCTCTCCACCCTCCTCACCTGGTGACCCAGGAATGGGGATAGATCACCATGGCATGAAGATAGCACCACTGTGTGCAGTGCCCGGTCAGCCTGATAGCCTGCCGTTCATTAGTGACAGTAAAGCTGAGGCTTTGGGTTACCAGTTAGCTGAGAAAGTCAGACAAGATGCCTGTCTCAACATCGCTCTTAACAAAAGGTATGTAAACAGTTACTTTTGAAACAGTCACAACATTGCTGATTTGTTGTTTCTCTCTTAAATAACTTTCTAAACTTTTTCTTTAGTTTAAAAAATCATTTTTATTAGTTTTTATGTGTCTCATAGGTAAAGCATTTAAAAATAATATTTAAAATTTTATATTTAGGTTGTCAGATGTAGCAAACACAGATGATCAGTCAACCCAGCAACAGTCCCCTGTGGGTGTGTGGAATTTCTCTGATCCTGCCGGCAAAGTGCACTGCAATTGTGTCAAGTGAGTGATCTTAATCTTTACATTATTTTGTCTTTATTATCATTATACAACCACCTTTTGAACAGTTTTTTTTTTATAAACATTACTGTTAGCTTTTGTTATGTCACGTCTAAAAAATCTTTCTGTTTACCTTTTACAATGTTGTTTCATCCACCCATATCTCTACTTATCTTCAATCAAAACAATGTTTCAGACACCGTAAAAAAGCTCAGGGTAAGGGGGCACTTGGGGGAAAGCATGGGAAAGGAGACAAGAATGAAAAGCTAGACCGCCAACTCAGCAGATTGAGTCGAAACCCTATTCCATTTCACCGGCGTGGCCATCATGTGGATGACTTACTTCAGTTTGATGTTGAGAGGATGATGACCCAGCCCATGCACCAGCCGAACCCAGCATTCTCCTCTACTGGGGCTACCACAATCACCAGTAGCAGCAGTAGCAACACTACCCCTCAGGGTAGGAGTAGCACACCCATGCATGACACTGTCATGCCGATGGACACGCCCAACTCAGCACCATCTCCACTTGATGAACCACAACCACCAGCATCGTCGTCTATGGACCCCACCATGCCCACCCTAAGCCCACACCCACCGAGTAAATTTTTGACTGATGGTAGCAGTGGTAGGTCAGGGAGTGCTGTGGCAGGTGGGATTGGCGGCGGGGGGAGTGGTGCTGCCACAGACTTGCATGCAGCCGCCCTGGCTGCTGGTGGTGGTATCACCAACGGCGGAACCACTGTTGCAAACTGCAGCAATAACGGTAATAATTCCACTGGTAACCCTGGGATCCTTGGCAGCAATTTATCAGTGGCAGTGACAGGTAGTGTTAATAATCTATTGAACAGTGTAAATATTGCAAATAACCTTGTGAATACTTCATTGGACATTACAAACAAAATGGAGGACCCAGCGGCAGCAGGTAAAATTGGAACTGCTCCGTCTGTAAATACCGCCTCGGCCGACCCGCAGCAATTTTCTTGGAGTTCTGTTACCTCTAAAACAGAAAGCATCAGTCACTGGGTGAACTCACACCACCAAAGACCTAACCCTGACAAACAGCATGAAAGGTTAATAGACACTAATTTAAAACGCCCTTCATTACCAACTAAAGGTTCTGATAGTGACACAGAGCAGGGTATGGATTCACTCTATGATTTTGAATGGATAAATATGTGGTATGTTGCTCTTTTTATTTTCATTTTTTTTTTTTTTGAGTTTTTTTTTTTTTTTTATAATTTAAATTTTTATTTTTAAGAAAGTTAATATTTTAGAATTCTCTGCATTTGGCTATTGTTTAACTTGATTTTGTAGCCTTATTACATTAAGATGTAATAATTTTTGTTAGCAATTTAAAAAAAAATAATTAAGAAGTTATTGTCCTTATTAAGTGCTTTGTTTACCTAAATTGCTTAGGATACACCTACCACTGAAGAAAGGTCGGTTTGAGTCTCTGGGTGACAGCATATCTGGGGATCTGGGTGCCCATTCTTCGAACTTCTCATCACATTCTCGCTCCATTCCTATGGTGCAAAGTCCATCTCAACCTGACCCAGATCCTTATGAATTTTCTGATGAGGCTTCTAAAGATCCAAAAACACTAACAACAAGATCCAGGCCTAGTAGAGATGAGAGGCCCTCACCTCTTGGTAAAATGGTATGTATAAGCTTGAAATCTTCAACTTCACTATTTAATTTAAGAAAATTCTTAGTTTCTTGTCAAAATCTAGAGCTAAAACTCAAAAATTCTTTAGAACAGTACTTTCAGAAACTACAGAACATTAGCCAGATACATTCAAAACTCAATTCATTTTTTTGTTAATAATCAAAGAGTCAGTTTTTCAAGAGTCAGTTATTCAAAATTTGAAAATCAAACAGAAAAGTGGTGAAGTATCTATTAGGATCTAGATTTGAACCATGTGAAATTTGTTAATTTTTAGTTAAACAAAATTTTGTAACCCACATGGACTGAACAAATTTTGAGATAGACACATATAATAGTTTTCAAAAACTATATTCATAATAAACCAGGCATTTTTAAAAACTACCAGAGTAGGCCTATTGCATGAGGTGTAAAGACATTTTTTTTATATTAATTCTCTTACAAATGTTAGAAAATGATCTTTTTTTTTTATTGAGTTTATCCCCAAAATCCACTGTTAGTATCCTTATTGATCAGCTTCTCTCTTTCCTCTTCTTCTCTTCCCCCCTCCCTTCAACTGTAATAATCCTAATATATAAATCCCCACGTTCGCACATCTCTCTCTCTCTCTCTTTCTCTGTCCGCAAAAAATTTTCGCCGGACATCACGTCAGAATCGGCAGCGGTATATGGAGAACTTTTTACGGACTTTTGTTGAAAATAATATGTTAGATGTTTTAAATGTATAACCACAATTTTACTTAAAGAAAAAAAATAAAAATTAAAGGCGTATTCGAATGTAGAGAAACAGTATTATTTATGCAACCGGAAAAGCATTAATACATGTGAAAAAGAACGCATAAAACTGCGACGTCGCTATTGCTTATACATTAACTAATGACGTCATCTGCTGTGTTTTGAATAAAAAGAAATGAACTATTTCATTCAAATTTGATTTAGATCTACGTACACTATGAAATGTATACAATACAATTTTTCCGGCCTAAACTCATAAAATTTATTTTATGTATTTGGATTCTAGATCTAGACTAAATCTAAATCTAAATCTAGGCAATAACTAGATCTAGACGTAGACGCTAAGATCTAGATTTAGACTCTAACTTCTCTAAAATCAATTCCAAAAATAAATTTCTATATTAGGACTAAACTATTTCAAGACTTATTTATTTTATACAAAATCTTTGTTTGGAACTGGCTAATTTGGGATAAAAAATTAATTTGAAAGAATAGGCATATTCGCGTAAGTTAAGATTTTAAAATACGTGTTTCATTCTCCGTATTTTATAAGATGCCTAAATAGCGGAGATGTTAGTGTACATTAAACCACGCAGGTGGTGCGGGTTCGAGACACAGCAAGTCAACTTGGTTAATGTATTCTTTTTTATTATGCTCGGGCTAAACTTAAAAAAAAATTCTATTAGGAATCTAGATCTAGATCTAGATTGTCGGGTGTCCGATAGGGCACTTCCCGGCGCCGCAGCCGCTTCAAATTTGGCATGATCTTGCCTTGGTGCGACAGAACACGGGGGCCGGTTGGCCGAAAAGTCTACGATGTGGGGGTCAAAACTGACCTCGACTGACCGGTACCTTATATGAGCTATAAATCGAAAAAAAATGTCCACGGAGGAACCTCTTCATAACTCTTGAGGTCGTAGACCGACCTTCGGGCGAATTAATTAAGCATTCAAATTCTCAATGTTTTCGAAAGCCTAAGCGAAGCTGGGCAGCATGCCTAATTAGTAATAAAAGGCCATTGATTTTATTGATTTATCATTAAAATTGCATATGGTTTGAAATTTATTATGTACATTTATCATTAAAATTATCTATCGTTTGAAATTTATTATGTATATTTATTTTCAGGAGGATGAGTCTCGAGCATCACCACGTCAGGGTACTGATGTGTCAGTGAAAGATGAACCAGCCAATGGTGAGCAAGGTTAACACACAATTTTCAACTTTAGATGTTGTCTTTTTTTCCAATCTTTAAAAAAAAATATATATATGTATACACGTTATTGGTATATAACTAGTATTATGAAATCTATATTATTGTAATCCTGGACATTTTATGTTATTCTTTTATTATTAAACTATCTTTAAATATAAACTTTTTATTAATGTTATGTTTGTAGATTTAGAACTAAAATGTTTAATTTGAAACTGGTGTGTTAATCTATAAAGGGACTCTATTCTTTTTTAATCTTATCTGACATCATCTTACTATTTTAGAGATGGGTCACATAACTTCCCCCTTAACACCAGGTGGCAGCCTGACTAGAGAGCGGGACATCAGAGTTGTTGGAGCTGATCAGGACCTTCTACAGATCTTTCAGTCTGACTCCTCAGAGGAGGATGATGATGGCGGGGTCAGTTTTCTTTCAAAGTTTTTTCTCTTTTTTTTTATCGACTAAATTAACTAAATATGACTCTGCTGAGATAGAACTTGTTGAAGAAATTCAGAAAATTGTCTACATTTTAAGTATCTTCGCTATTTATCAACAGGAAGTAGGGTTGATCTGTATTATCCTGATTATGGATGCTTAGTTTTTGCTTACATCTGTTACCTTTTATGCCCATAACTACTACACTTTTTTTATACTTATCTACAAAATGTAATGTTTTCTATGTAACAATTTCAGGCCCATGACTCTGGTGTTGGCAGTAAATCAACAGATGATCTGAAGCCTCTTAAAATGAATAATGGCACACTAGGCATTATTCGTAAGCCAGTTTTTATTATACTATGATTGTAAATTTTTAAAATGTTACTAAATAATATTTAGGATATTTGATGGATAAAATAATGATTAGTGGTTTAAACTTAGCAAATGAAGAAAACATCCATGTTTCAGCTCCTCTAGACCTTGGACGTATGTATCCCACACCCCCTTCACATGAAACCAACAAATCTCATTCTCCTGAGACCATGACAGATGTCACCAATGAAGGCATTCTCACTAGTGGACCCATTGGAACATTTCATTCTTCATTAGAGAGCACAGCTCCATCAGTAATTGACCCTGTTACCAATATTAAAGTAAGTCATTTTTTTTTATCTTTGATTTTTATTGTGGCCTCAGTGATAAAAGGAAACTAAAAGAATAAATGGTATTTACATCGTTGGAATATTTATTTATCTAAAGAAAATTTCATTTACTGAAAACGTTTATGAAATGCCATCAAAAGGAAACAAGCCTTTAAGACTAACTTGAGTACATATTTTGCGTGGCTTATGAGAGTTTTTCCAGTCAACAGTCTGATATTTTAAAACTGGATTAGTTTGGGGAATTACCCTAATATCCAAATTTTAATCCCAGCATGACACGCCTTGCATGACTAGTTTGTCCCATTTCAGTTTTATATCAATTTTTCACTAACTTTCTGCATTTTATCATCCTGGCTTGTTTTAATTTTAATACTTGTTTTTTTTTTCTCCTCACCTCCACAGTGTGATGTGTTTGTCCCACCCATAGCTGCAGAGACCATTGGTGCTAGCAAATACTCAGCAGTAGATTTACCTAGCGGTCGATCTTCTCCGTTACCCAATATACCTGAATACAAGTCCAGTTGGAGTTTTCCCACACCTCTCCTGGACTCACAGCATTCCCAGAGAACGTATGTCATGCTTTTTTAAACCCTTATCTCCTGTTTGTTTTCAAGGCTTTATTATTTTCACAAATAACAATGTATTTTCTTCTTACAGGCACTATGTTAATTTGCCCAGCGTTGAGAATATTTCATCTATACGAACTGTTGGTTCTGGAGCGGGTATTGATGCCAGTCCAGCAATATATAGCAATAGTCAGCAGCGTACACCATTAAGTTATGAACTCACTTCACCAGCATCAAACTCCTCTTCCTACCTCAACAAAACTAACAATTCCATTGACAATCATGGCACCAATAGTCAGCTACCTGAGGTAAGGGATATATACATTTGAAAAATCTTCAATTTTTTTACCTGTCTAAAAACATGAGCTGTGTATGTAAATTCTTACACTTATTGTTTTTTTTATTTATATTTTCAGGCTCATAGTTTATTACTGAATGTTCTGTTATGTGATTCTATATTAAACCTCTTCAAAGATCACAACTTTGACAGCTGTACTATATGTGTCTGTAATGCTGATATCAATGGTAAATAAAGCATTTTCATTTTTAATAATTCATAACTTTTTCTAATATTAACCATTAAAAATTGCTTTTCAGTGTTTAATGTTTGATTTTGTTGTGTTCATTTTTTTTTTAGGCAGTGATGTTAGTGTTTATCTCCCTGATACAAGTAAAGGATCCTCGTCAGGCTTCAAATGCAGTTGTGCTTTTAGTGCTGCTGTGAACCGGAGATTTGGCTACAATTCAGGACTGTTTTATGAAGATGAGGTTGAAATCACTGGTTTCCGGCATGAACTCTTTGATCATCGAAAAGCTCCCCTTGTACAGGTGGATTTGCCAAAAAATAATGGTGATAGCTCATCAAAGTCAGAAGATATTACTCCTCAGGTAAAAAGAATGAGTGCTACTGTTACCTTAGCTATGTTGACAAATATTTTTAAAATGTGACTTGAGGAGGAATTGAACTGTTTTCATATCTTAGCAAATAAAAAAAATTTAAAGCAAATATTTTCAGTGGCAGCATTGATACTGTCGAATTCACAAATGAATTACTGAAAAGTAGAAAATAAAACAACTAAATAGCAGCGTATGATACGCTGCAGGTCGGCTCGTACAACTTAATAATGCAAATGGCCAGACATCTGATAGTTACCAGGGAGGTAAAAAGATTGTTTTATATTATTAAATAATAAATTATGTGCCCTTGTCAACCCATTATATTACAATGCAGGTGATGAATCAACTCCTTGGGCAATATGCATCACCATTCATATCATGTATAGGCAGCCACCACATAAACCTTCTACAGATGTCAACAGATATGTCTTATCAGCCTTGTACTGTAGATATACTACAAATTAGAGGTTTGTTTCATTTAAATACATCAAAATACTTTTAAAAAATTTCCACTGTTTGATAATTTCTAGACTTTTTGTGTTCCTGCTTTTTAAACATAATGAAATAGCAGTTAAGGGAAAGGCTGTGTACAGTTCCAAATGGGGAAAAAAACATTAAACATGTCATTTCTTAAATTGACTTGCTCTTTCTCACTTGGGCTGAGAAGTGTGGCTTAAATCTGATGTACTTAAAATAGCCTGTGTGTATACTACTTTAGACAGCAATTTCTCATTGTGGTGGCAAATCTGTAGCTTCAGCTGTTATGGAGGTGAGGGTCATGTAATGGAATCTGTAGGTGCAAAGAAAACTATTGCAAACTGTCGTATCTTCTCTATTACTCACTAATGAGCTACATCCGATGCAATTGTAATTTTATTGCCCTTATCCATTTTACAGTGACATTAGCAATTTTCACATTTGACTATGCTATTAGGTAACTAGCTGATTTTGGGCTTTAGCCAGTAACATATTTAATCCAAGTATATGATATCTGCTTTTAAAAAAATGTAACGGTTGAACTTGAATTTTTATAAGCCCTAAGTTGTAAATGTTGTTTGTTTTACCTGGCTGCAGTAGCCTGTATATTTAACACTGCTGAAACTCTGTACAACAGATGCTAATGATGTTGTGAGTCAAGCAATAGAAGTGGCCAAACAGGCTATGGACAACTGTTCTGGTAGATATGAAGACCATCTCCTCAAGATAAATTACATGCATAAGTGGCCTTACTTAAGAGGTTTGTACAGAATTTCTCTTGTTGGTAGCTACTGGTAGGGCTTGTATGAACCATAAACATTGTTTATTCTGGAAATAAAGTAGCCTTGCTATTGGTAAATGGTCAAAATACTTGTATGTATGGTTAGGATAAAGATGGTTTCTTATGTTTTCAGGACCAGGGTGTGTTCCTCACAACACACAAGACACTATACAATGTCTCAAGTCTTTGCATCCAATACTTCAAACTGCAATTCAGAATAAAAGAGTCACAAGATTGTGGGAAAACACATACACACTTCAAGGACCCATCAGCTGGAAAGATTTCCATGATTTGGCTGGAAGAGGTAAACACATTTGATACTACATATTATTTTATAAAGCACTTTAGATAAGCTGTATAATTTGGTGTCTTAACAAAATGTCTTTATTTTTTTTTAAGGAACTGAAGAAAACCATGAACCACAACCCATTCCACATTTCCTGGTTGGTCATGATAGAGATTGGCTAACAGTTTCACCTTACAGTATACGTTATTGGGTATGTTTCTCAATTATTATTTTTTTGTTCTGACTGGAATAACATTTCATTTTTTTTAAACAGTTTTTTTCCCCTCTTGTATTTAATTTTGTCTTGAAATTATACATTTCAGATGTGTATATCTTAAAATAAAAATCATGTTTTCAGGACAAGCAATTCCTGGAGCCTTATGGGCGTATGCGTGATGTCCTGTACGTTGTCGTGGCACCAGACAATGACTTCATTTTGCAACATGTTGTGGCATTTTTCAAAGAGTTGAGCACTGTGTATGAAATGTGTAGGCTGGGGAGACACTGTGCTATAAATAAACCCTTGCGTGAGGGTGTCTTGAGGGTTGGAAAACAAGCTGCAGCTAGGCTTATTGATGAGCCAGTGGAAGACTGGTTTAATTTTTTAGGTAATTATCTATATACTTTCGTTAACCTTTTTCATATATGATTAACAACCAGACTAAAATGTCTGTACTATTTCAATTTAACAAATTGCTAATGAATTGTTTTTCTTTGGACACCAGGAGAATCAAGTATAGCATCCAAATTGAAGCTTTATGCTCAAGTTTGTAAACATAACTTAGGTGTGTACCCTTTTATATTCATCGACTTTACTACTCAAATCTTCTGATAATGTAAATTATTTGTTTTAGATCCTCTCTAGCACTAGTTGTCTTTATCATAATTATGTGTGCATTTGTCTTGTTAAGAGTATATAATTCTATAATTTATTTTTTGTTTAGGACCAATCCTATCGCAGCCAAACTTGGACAAATCCATGTTTGATCAAGGTTCTGGTAATGCACATAAAGCCCAGTTCAAAATGCCAGAACCTGCATCTAATTCTGCCCGGCCTGCCACCCCAGACAATCTACAAAATTCTAACTCATCAGGGCAGGGTCAAGGCATTGATGATGGGAAAGGTAAAAAAAATAATTATTTGTTATCAACCTCAGCACAGACCGATGTATAAATAATGTAGCAATGAGAGAAAATACGTCGCCACTTTAGAGTTAGATGGCTCTAAATAATTACTAATGTACTTTATTTATGCTTATATAATCACATAATTCTAGGGTGATCATAAAAATGTAGCATAAACTTAGTTATAGTTTTACATTCATGTTAGGCAACAGTTTTTATAATGTCTAAGGTATAGATTTTCAAAATGCTAAACAATTCATATGAACATAGATGGTAATGCAGAGGGTAATGGACAACAGAAAGATGGCCAGCATGAAAGTGGCGATGGCAGCAATGAGGACAACAATCCTGATGCCCCTGGCATTGTGGTGTACATTGTAGATCCATTTTCATATGGGCAGGACAGTGAAACAATATCCAGGCTGGCTATGATTGGGTTGCTGCGCTGTTATCAGCAGATGGCATTACCAGAGAACCTGGCCAACAATCTAAGTCTGCAGGTAAATACATTTTATTCCATTTGTTTTAAAACGTTGGCTGGCTAGTTTATTAAACCACATTCCTTTTGAAAGCTGTGGCTATTGAAACTTAATCTGTCCCTTCAACTATTTCAATTGTCTTTTTTATGCTCACTCTTCATAAGTCTTTAGAAACAAGTTACTCTTACTTCTACAGTTGGTACCTCTTCGCACAATACTGGAACACAAAGACAGTGCCAACAAGCTTCAGACACTCAAGTCTGTAGCGTTTTCTGTCTTCACCTCATGCAAGTGGAACCTGGGTCACAGTATCATGGGTCGTTCTTTGACTGGGTTTGGACCCGCTGCTGCAGCTGAACAGTATCTGAAACGCAAAGGGGTAAGCCATTTAAAAAAATTTATGTTGACTCTAATATCTTACACATGAAAGTTTGTTTTTAATCTTAAGGTTGCTCAGTCTAAACAATACTAGGTGTACTTTTCAATCACCTGAAGTGGAAAAGTAGTAAATCACACTTTAGATATAGCTACATTTCCTAAAGAAAAGTAGTTTTTTAAAAAAAATTTCCTTTCAGCCTGAAAATTTCAAGCTGTACAGTCCACCCTACATACTTGCTTCAACTAAAAGCCGACAAAACCAAATTATGGAGGCCAAAAGTGATCAACAAAGCATTGTTTTCTGTGGCTATTGTCTGTCTGAGGACCAACGATGGTTGCTGGCTGTGTGTACAGATGAGAAAGGAGAACTTATGGAACATTGCACTATCAATATTGAAATACCCAACAGGTTATTACATAATTTAAGTAGAAAGTAACCTCATTACTGGATTAGTTGTCATATTTACAGTAATTAGCATAATCTAGGTTAGTACACTAAATTTTGCTTACATTTCTTAAAAGACTTTAAGAAAAACAATTTTTAATAAATATTTAGTACTGTAACGTTAAATGCAAATATTTATTTCTAATTTTTTACATTTAGTATACATATATTTTTTGTCCACTTGCAGAAATCGCAGAAAGAAAGCTTCGGCAAGAAGACCAGGACTGCAGAAACTCTGGGACTTTATCCTGGGTGTTGTGTCTCTGACATGTTATCCCACTAGGCTGGTTATTGGAAGATTTGGACGTATGGGACATGGAGAATTAAAAGGTAACATTACAAATTTTACATTTGTATGCCCAGACATAATGAACATATAACCTGCTTGAATTTTTTATGCCTGCTGTTATTAAAAAAAATTTTTTTATCAACATTGAATTCACAAGGTTTATAGTAGAAATAATTGTATAAAATTCCATGTAATCCTAAGGATGGTCTGGGCTGTTGAGTAAAAAGAATCTACACAGCGCATCCCGTCGCTTGAAAGATATGTGTGGGCAGTGTTCAGTGATGGGACCTTCTGAAGTTCCCTGTGTTCTTAGTGTCTGTCTAACATCTATTGAAACACATCCCAGTTTCCAAGTAGGTTGCCATGCCATTTTTTTTACAAATTTGTATAATTGTTTCTCAATGTGTTTGTTTGTTAATCAAATAATGTAGGTAGTATCTGATGGTCTTTGCTGGGTATGTTACCAAATGTTCTCTTGTGTTTAGGTGGTAGCAGATGCCATGAAACAGGAAGAAAAACAGAGCAGCAGCATTCCACTCCAGACACCCAGAGATGCTAGTGTCACACACATTTTGGTCTTCCCTACATCAGCTACAGCCCAGGTAATTCAATCATTGCATCTATTTTCATTTACCCCAGTCATTCAAGCTTCAATCACTACATACACTGTGTCCCCCTATCATTAGGAATAATTGTATAATGTAATAACATGAACAGCAAACTTTTCATGTACCATAAATAACTTTAGTTCTGTCATCACCATTAGTAATCTCCTTTTCATCAACTTCGCAGCCCATTAAAATCTAGACTTTAACTTGTCTCATTGTTAGTATGTATGCTGATTCAATGTTCCCCCTCTACAGGTAAACGCCAACCCCCTCCAGCAAGACCCCCAGAATGATCTCACAGCACATTTTGAACTGGATGATGTTTTCTCTGACATCAACAACATGGGGGAGGAGATAAACCTGTTTGAGATAGGTCTCTTTGACAACTTTGACAATGCTAACACCTCCCCACCCGTCTCACCAATCAGCAATGCACAGCGACAGAACTCACGCAACAATGGACCTTCAGCTGTAAGTACATTCAAATCATAGAACTTTTAGATCTATTTATTTATAGAAGTAAAAATAACCTTCCAAAAACAATGGTCCATGTGACTATTAGAGTATAAATTGTGTATGATCTGTGTATAAATTGGGTATGATCTGTGTATAAATTGGGTATGATCTCTATACCTGACTTGTGTATGATCTGTGTATAAATTGTGTATGATCTATGTATAAATTGGGTATGATCTGTGTATAAATTGGGTATGATCTCTATACCTGACTTGTGTATGATCTGTGTATAAATTGGGTATGATCTCTATACCTGACTTGTGTATGATCTGTGTATAAATTGGGTATGATCTATGACTTGTGTATGATCTGTGTAGAACATGGCAGAGATCCAGGCTGACCCACAGGATGACTTCAACCTGCTCCAGCAGCCACTAGCCATGGGCTACTACATTTCAACAGCTCCGCCAGGGCCATTACCCAAGTGGTTCTGGTCTGCCTGCCCTGAAAATGAATTTGTTAGTCCACATGTCTTCAAGGTAGGAGGCTTTACATTTAGAAATACAGTTTATAGAGTAAGAAAACCTATAGTATACATTATTTCTTTAATGTTTTAAATGTGTTGAGGTCAAAATATTAATTTTATTTTTTAATAGCTTGGGAGTATAAATGTTTTAAATAATCCCTGCTTAAAAATAGTCAAATTATTTTGTAAAAATGAAATAGTCCTCAAAAAGGTTACTTTACATAAAACTAAGAAACAACTGGCTTTAAATAATTTAAAATAAGTGCTATGATATTCCAGTCTGCCCTGCACATTCATGAGTCATCTCGCCATGATGAGTTCCTTCACAAGTCAGACAACAGAAGTAAACCACACGCTCTAGATTCACACATGACTTGTGATGTACTCAGGTCAGTACTACAATATTCTACTTTATACTTACATGTTCAGAAAAAAAAGGCTTGCACAGTAGCTTGTGGAGTTTATTTATTCTGGTATTGTATTTAAGCTATTTTAGAAAAAAGTAACATCCTGTAATTAGAGTACTTAGTAGTGCCAAAAAACATTTATATCAGTCCGCTGAACATTTTAAAGAAAAAAATAGCTGTGTTTAAATTGGTATAGTTTTATTGTAAATGATTTAGTTATGACTTTCTGTCATATTTCCATCTGAACCCAAGTGTTAGAGCGTAAACCTGTTGTCTCCCTCCAGGTATGTCTTGGAGAACTACAACTCTCTGTCCTGGCTGACATTTGACCCAGTGCTCAACGATCGCCGATCTTGCCTGCCAGTTCACTTTGTGGTGCTGATGCAGCTGTACCATGCCCTCCACACATTTGTCTAACAGATCTGCATGTCGTTGTAGCATGACCCACCTGTGTCCATCCACCGACTCCCTGATACCTGGAGTTGGGTGCAACAATCACACCAAAAAGACTTGTCTTGTTATTTATATATATTTGATACTAAGAATGCCTGGATGATATGTGAGAAAGTGTAGCAATATCTTGTTGATGTAGAGCTGTTTGATCCAATAGCTAAACACTAAATATATTTGAAATATAGTATATTTCACTCGAGTTTATTTTATGAAAAATCAATGGATTGAAAAGTAATTTTGTATATCGCCTGGGTATATATGCTTGGCACATTAATAATAGAAAGCTTAATATAAAGATTATTTAAGGTCTATTATACCATCCAATACAGTAATACAATGATGGCAGCTATATTGAACTTTGTTTTTAATTACAGGCAGTTTCATTTTCTTTAAAGGATTTGAAATTTTTATCCCAACTATTTAAATATGTAAATGTTTTGTTTAGAAAGATTTATCCCTAAAGTGGTTATTAAAAATTGTAATATTGTCTTAGGAAGGACAGGTTAGGTGTAGTTCCTACATTACTTGAGCTACCAGCTATGTTTTAAAATCAAATTTCATGTCACTTGTTTAAATTATTTTTTCCTATTTGTGTTCATTCATTTGATGTAACTTTACTAGCTTATGTGTTCTCTTTCTGTGAAAGGGAGCCTACTTTAGGAGCATATTGTCAACAGAATAAACATGTAGTTTAGGTAGATTATATTTTTAAATACGTCCAGTACACACAAATACATATTAGTTACGGAAAGTTTTTTTTTTACGTGTAATAAAACAATTGTTAGTTTGGCTGTTAGAAGAGAGTGATAATAGTGACCGTAATTAAAAGGTTTGCTGCATGTAATTAAACAATTGTTAGTTTGACTGTTAGAAGGTGACAGTAATCGAAAGGTTTGCTATATGTAATGAAACAATTTAACTGCTAGGTGACAGTAATTGAAAGGTACATGTAATGAAACAGTTGTTAGTTTGACTGCTAGAAGGTGATGGTGACATAAGAAATGGCAGTACTTAACTTCTCTTGTGATAACTAGCTGCTCTGTTGTTGGCTTGACAATGAACAAGATTGAGACATGTTTTTTTTTTATACCCCCAGCAAGATGGCATCTTGGCAAGTTTCCCTTTGTTTATGATCACCACCTACACAAATTGTTGCTTGTCTGCCAGTTGTATGTAGTGTTGGACTGGTCAGTTTGATGTTCATGTGATAGATTTGTTTGGTTATTTACCATACTATATATAGACATTACAGTGTTAGTCAGTGGGAAAAAAAATCTATATATATTTATATATATATATAAACCATTACTGCCTTGCACCATTAAATGTTTTTGTCTGGATTATATCAATAAAGTTTGTATTTTAAAAAAAATTTTAACTGATCTGAACATGACATGGCATAAAAGGTATTTTTAAACTCTCAATGCATTAGTCTGTACATTGAAATACTAAGCTGGAAACAATAATTGTGTAATAAAAAATTTTTTTTTACCAAAGAAATGTTTTTGATGTCTCTGTATTGGGACTTGTGTTGACACATAGGTGAAACCAGTTGTCTATGAAAACTATTGCAACAAACTGATGTATATTTTGTATTAGTTTTGTACCGTTTCAATTTTTAAAAAATTCAACTCTATATGTGCTCTCATGTTGTTTTTTTCCCCCCTCTTGTATATGAACATGCCCTAAAGTAGCAAATAGATGGTCTCTGTACAGCTAGTCAAATATGGGGTGTCTGTGTACATACACACCTGATAATTCCTCACCTGGTTTACAACTGTCTGCTCTATTTCATTTCAAAATGTTTATACATACATATATATATACATATAGAATACCAGAATTACTGCATCAGTTGTTTTTTTTTTTAATTTTCCAAATGTTTTTTTAATTAATCCATTGTATTTTATGCTTTGAGATGACTGCTATCATGCATGTAGTTGACATTGTTTCAAAGATGATTTCTCATGACTGTTATGTCTGTATAAATATTTATGTTCAAGATGATTTCCTATGACTGCTACAAATGTCTGTACAAATATTTATAGTGGTGAACAAAACCTATGCCCTGCAACTCTCCTGTAAGAGATTTTTTTTTTTTATATCCTGAGGTTCCAGTAGAATTCATTTGCTAAACTTGTACTAGATGGTAAAACAATTGGAATAGAAATCTAAGTTGTTGTGCATATTTATGTCATGAAACTATAAATTGAATAAAGTTATTTTTAAAAAAAAATAATGAACCTCTGAGAGCTAGATTATTTAGATGTGGTTTAATTGTACCCTATAAAAGCTAAAGTAAATCTGCTTTTTGAAGTGGGTGACACTGGGTTGTGAAAAAAACTCACTTCCGTTGTTAATTTCTTGACTGGTGAGTAAAGTGTAGTATCTTTCCATTGCATTTATTATGACACCATTTCATTGTATGATTATTATTTTTTTGTAATACATATTTTTAATAATTGTAAAGACACTGGATATTGTCCTTCAAGTATTATCAGAAAATAAAAAATTCTGATTTTTTTTCTCTCTCAAGATAAAGGAACAAAACTTATAACCTAAACGTTGACTCTTTCTGTGATGGTTATATTTTTTGGTTCATGTTTGTTGAAAGTAGTGTGTAAATAGAGTGAGAGGTTTAGTGTCAGCTGTCTGTCTGTCAACAATGAGATGTTAAGTTATTCTCTAGATGGTCATATCATACAGCAGTAGTCCTGAGGAAATATCTGGTAATAAAACTCATGATGCAGAGTCTATAGAAGGCCTCCTTGTCTTTTGTTAGTTGTCTCCTGTGTTGGGTTAGGTGGTGGGTAAGGGTTGGCCATTACCACAAAAATTAGGATATTTAACTCAAATGTCAAGGCAGTTCTGCTATATGGAGCAGAGACATTGAGAGTATCCAAAGCAAGCACAGCAAAGATACAGAGACAGATATTGAGATGGCAGGAGAAAGTGCCGAACATAATTATGGATGAAAGCTAGACAGGAGCCTATGGCTGTGCAAATGAGGAAGTGGCGCTGGGTGGGACACACCCTACGAAAGGCTCACCCAAATGTTACACGCCAAGCGCTTGAGTGGAACCCCCAGGGAAAGCGGAAGAGAGGGCGCCCAAGACAGAGCTGGAGGCGGAGTCTTCTTGAAGAACTGAAGCCAACAGGGATGTCTTGGGAGACGGCAAAATTAATAGTCGGGGAGCGGATGAAATGGTGGAGGCCCTATGTTCCATAAAGAGTAAAGAGGACTAAGTTAAGGTTGGCCAGGTGCCTTGGTAGGTCGTGTGTAGGGGCTAAGTGGTGTCGAGTTAGGTGATGGGTTAGGATTTAGCGTGTTTCTCTGAAGGTGGTGGGTGGTCGTGTGTAGGGGCTAAGCGGTGTCGAGTTAGGTGATGGGTTAGGATTTAGCGTGTTTCTCTGAAGGTGGTGGGTGTCACCTTGTGGTTTAGGATTAGGACATAAGTCTATCCCAGCTGGATGGACGGTTTGGTGGAGTGAGAGAGCGTTCGACTGCTACGCTGAAAGTCTCGAGTTTGGATCCCGGGCTAGAGTCCCTACGATACCCTTGAGTCCACACAGTTGTGATGGATACCCGACTCAAGTACTAACTTATTCAGGGGATTGAAATAGGCTGTGCATGGTAGTGTTGAACTTACTATCCCTTCATATGCCGAGGTCACTGAACCAGGTGATAAGCCCCGTTGACCTTAAGGTTATAAAAGAGTAATATATCTATAATTTTTTCTAACCCTGCTGACTTGTAGGTGAGTTACTGGTGTTTACAACCACAAGTTTATAAACTTAAACAAGTTGAGTGCTGATGATGGGCCTAATTGTACTTAAGAGTTGGAAACTTGCCTCTTTTTAAAAAATCTTCTAGTATAGGATGCTGAACAAGTAGGTTGTGGTACCTCAAGCTGTACACACGTTCTAGCAACTGTTTATATTTTTTAAAGAAAAGCAATTCATGTATGCACGAGCCTATGGCCTACTCACTTTCGTTTTCTCAATGGAAGCGGCTCAGCGCTCTACGACAGTCTACCTAAAGAGATGATATCGGGATCAAATCTTTAATGATAAAAGCGTGGTGACAAGATTCACATTTTCAACCCACTTTCTTTGGGTCGTATCTTAAATGATAAAAGCATGACGAGATTTTTCACAAGATCAACCCACTTTCCGTGGGTCGAATCTTAAAAGATACGAGCACGGTTAAACTATTCCCATTTTTACCCACTTTCCGTGTAGACGCCGTCATTGAACGCGAGCATCGACAATGATGAATTTTTTTCTTCCAGCCTCACAAACCCAGAGTTACCGGCCGTGCTGTCTATCTTGCCGCCCATGTATAGCAATTTGCCAGACCTCATCGCATGAAGGCTGGTCACAGAGATGCCGAATGGGTTTACAAATTCAGACGCTCACAAAGTTTGTGCTTGATGACGTAGCTTGCGTCTCGTTTTATTTTTAGCCTAAGTCTTCTAACAATGAAGCTCTAGGAGGGGGGGGGGGGGGGGGGGGGTTAGCGTTTGATTTAAGGACAAATGTACTAAATGTCGTGAGTACCCCCACTAATCCAGTCTTGAGACCAACGAACTTCTATGCGCTGGAAATAAAAATCTAAGGGGGTTGTTTGGGTTACTGTCATTGCCCACCCACCGCCCCCACGTGATGAAAAGTCAGACTCCTACCGCCCACAGAATTTCCAAAACCCGCCCCTAAAACCACGAAACGAACGGAAATTATAGTTTTTTTTATTGTTTTAATCTAAACTAAATAATAACACAAGCTGCCAGCTACGTCACAGTTCCTACCCCCACCCTACCTCCACCTACGTGGCACACCACCATCATTCTATGTGCCTGACGTCATAGGTGGACGCCTCCAAAACTTAATTATCCATTGAAGTTCCTGCCGCCACTAACTTCCGTTTCATCAGCCAGGTAAAAAATAGGAATTCCTAATTCAAGTGTTTTTTGGATATTAACTAAAAATTTATTTTGCCCTTTGACCTTTGGAGCAAAAACAAATTGTTTCTATTTATACAACACATTTTTCAAAAAAGTTAAATAAGGTGTTCGTTTATAATTAAAAAAACAAAACAAAAAACAACGAAACAATACTTTTTAGGAAGACGCCTAGGGTATTGTATAAGATAGCGAGTGCAGTTTTTTGGGTGATAAAAAATGTAGAACACCCTCTTTTCTCGTTCGTCCGCTCTAATAGGCCGTCTTAACCAGTGTCAAATCAAGTCCCTTGGGTCGGTGTGATGTACGGGCTGAGTTTGATTTAGTAGCATATAAAAATCTTCTGACGAGAATTCTGACTTATCTCCCTTGCTATTTTTTTTTTCCTTTGCGTGACGCCAAACGACAGCTTCAACATCGGGGTTTTTTCGCCATGTTTTCGCATTTCTTTTTTTTTCTTCCCAATTTAATGTTAGCAATCATTTAAGTATTAATCGTGACCGACTGTGTATTTATAATCGACTCGTACATTTTTCAGCAAATTATACTTTAAACAAATATTAATCCGTGCATAACAGAGATATTTACAAATATAAAACTAATTGGAAACCAAAAATACGAACTAACAAAGTATGTCTCCTCAAGTAAGCTCTCACAGTTGTTTTTTTCAAGTTCACCCAGTCGTGTTAAAATATATTTAGCACTTAAACAAAGTAAGCATGACTGACTAAACATTACTTTACAGCCCAATGAACGAAAATTGAAATATTTCGTTTTCTGTTTTTAAAAAGTAAGAACTTCGTTTATGAGTCTATGTTGGGATCGTGCACACTGTAGATCTATATTAGGAAAAGGTGGTAAGCAGGGCCGGCGCTACCTATAAATAAGGCGAACTAGGCGGTCGCCAAGGGCCCCATCCCTAGTGGGGGGGGGGCGCAAAAAAGGTTTAATCGCTATTATCAAAAGTACCTAATAATTAAAAACTTTGATTATCTTTTATAAACTATAGACAGGGTCATAAACAAAGGAGTAGCGATCTATTTCGGCGCCCAAGACGAACTATCAATTTTGCACCCCCACCCCAAAATTAGGCCTACATTGGCCTATATTTATTCGCGTTGGTAAAAATGCACCCCCACCTCCCTAATTTGGAAATGCCGGGGCGCTTTTTATCGGTCACTTTGACTTTTTATTTTGGTTTCTCATAGTTGATGTAGAAAACGATTAAATACGTCCGTAATTTAAATTTTGAACATTTCAAACGGTTATCTAATTTTAATGTTGATTTAGTGATCGCTCCAGCGCATGACGGGCGTTCCAAAACACGTGCAATTTTGGTTTTTAATAGGGCTTGTAAATCTCGTTTTCTCTGGCTTTGAATTAGAACTCGTGTTCTGGTGTATATAGTTTTGTAATCACGGGGTGTTCAAAGTATTGTACTTGTTTGGTCAGATTTGATGAATCGTTTTGATTTGGGAGTAACGGCGGAAGGCTGTTGCTGATATGGTTTCGTAGGTATAAAGTATCGAAGTATTAAAGTGTCATATTTTTTATTCGGCTATTTTGTAGTTGAAGGTCTAGTGGAATAATATTTGGTAGTAGAGAAATGAGAATGTAGGTGATGAGGTATCGTAGTCCTGGAGTCCGGAAGTATCGAGTCTAGTGGTATAAAGGTATCGAATTGTGTTGACTGTTAATGTGTAGTAGTAGGTCCAGTTAAATCGCTGTTAATTGGGAGTATCGTTTGTAGAGCTTGGTGAAGTTAAGCGAGTTGGTGTCTTAGTTTTTGAGCATCCAATCTAGTTATGTTTAGGTATCGAAGTTTGATATGTGTTGTTAATGTTGTAGAGTTTGAGTGTATAGAGTAGTCGAGTTTATGGTAAGTTAGATGATTTCAATTCAGGTCGGAACACACTACAAAGAAAGTTGGGCGTTCTCTAGCTGAAAAATCTTTAGTTTTTTAGGAAGTATTAGTATATAATATTATATAGGCTGGAATTTATAACTTCAGTAAACTTTTTTTTTTCAAATTATAATTTTTTAAATATTCATTCAATAATTACATCAATGTTTTAAACAGCTTCCGTGTTTGATTTTTAGCGCAATTTCCATTCTGGAGAATTGCGTTTATTAACTCGTCATTTCTGGGAATGGATGGATGAATGAATGAATGTATGGATGTATGTGTGTCCGCAGCTTTAAGTCGTATCTCCTCCTCAACGAAGCAATATCGAGGACTAGTTCCAAAAGCAATTATGTTAAGCAAGTTACGAGGATGAACATAGGCCAAAAACATTCCGGGTTTCTTTCATGGATTTCCCGGAAAAGCCAAAAAACCTCGAAAAATGCATTTTTTGGCCCATATCTCGGCAACCAGACCACTTAGCGACTTGAAACATGTACCAATCGATTCCTGCCATAATTTAGAACAATATTGCCGAAGAGAGTTTTCAAAAATATCATTTCGTTGGTCACAATTTTTTTTTTTGAATTAATTAAAATTTGGACCGAATTAGTAGGCATTTTTATCCAACCACACCACACGCGTCATCACGTTCAATAGCTGCGCCATCACGTTCAATGGCTGCGACATCACGTTCGGTAGCTAGGCGCGCAATGGTTTTTAGTCATGTAACTCTATAGTAAATAAAACATGTAAAATACTGGAAAAAAAATTAATAAAAAACGTTTTAATAACTAACCAATGGTTTTACTAACCCTGCTCTTGATTTACGCTACGACAGAGCTATTTTTAGATAACATAAGGAAATTGCGCTTAAATGTCACTAGACTTTTAAAT